ATGGAATCCCAGACTGGTTTGGGTTGGAATGGACCTTCAATATCATCTAGATCCACCCCCCTGCATGGGCAGGGACACCTCCCACCAGCCCAGGTTGCTCCAAGCCCCATCCAACCTGCCCTTCAACACTGCCAGGGATGGGGCAGCCACAGCTTCCCTGGGCAACCTGGGCCAGGCTCTCACCACCCTCACACCAAAGAATTTCCTCCTCATATCCAACCTCCATCTCCTTCTTCCGGTTTTAATCCGTTCCCCCTCATCCCATCCCTCCCTGCCCTTGTCCCAAGTCCCTCCCCAGCTTTCCTGGAGCCCCTTCAGGCCCTGGAAGCTGCTCTAAGGTCTCCCTGGAGCCTTCTCTTCTCCAGCCTGAACACCCCAACTCTCCCAGCCTGGCTCCAGAGCAGAGCTGCTCCAGCCTCTGATCATCTTTGTGGCTCCTATGGACTGTCTCCAGGAGCTCCATGACCTTATGTTGGGGGCCCCAGAACTGGGCCCAGGTCAGGCAGAAGCCATGTCCCTGTCAGCACACAGCAAACACTGCAGGCAGGGGAGAGACCTGCCCAAACACACCAGCTTCAGCCCTGGGGGAGCCAGAGGAAGCTCCTGCCAGGCTGGCCCTGGGGCCACAACAGCCCCAGGTTATCTCCATGACCCAGTCATCCAGGCAGCACATCCTGAGCAACATCTCTGCAGGGCAAGTACAAAGGTTGGACCCCAACGAGGCATTTGTGGCCTGAGCCCAGACACAATTAACCTTTAGCTCCCCCAAAAAATGTCAGTGGGAAAAAGGGCCAAGGCAGGTGGCAGCTGCCAGGGCCTCTGCCTGTGGGGCAGCCCCAGCTCTGCCACAAACCACCCCTGAGACCCTCGGGAAGAACCTGAGTCCCCTCAGCAAATGAAGCATTCAGGGCACCTGCAAACTCAGCAGCAACCCTGCCTGGCAGCCAGAAATGCTCCACCTCCCTGCTGGGGCTCCTTGGGGTGAGCAGCTCTGAGCCCTGACCAGGAGTTCCTGTGTCCTCAGGAGACCCCAGCCCCCCAGGACTGTAAAGCTGCTGAGCTTTGCAACTTGTTTTTCTGGCATGTGAGCTTGAGGGAACGTGAGATGACAGCACTAACCCCCTCCAGGAGGCAGCTGGGTCATGCCAGCTCCCTCCCAAGCACCCATTTGGATCTTTACTCTGTCTCAGTGAAGGTCACCACAGGGTTTGCCCTCCCAGCTGCTTTCAGCCCAGGGCTGTGGCACAGGGCACAGTGAGGGACAGGAACTGTGATCACCCAGACTCCAGCTGGGGTCAGACACACAGAGGGGGGTGGTTTGCTCTGCCCAGCTGTCCTCAGGGCAGCCACAGCCTCACACAGCTCCTGAAGTCACTCATCTCCAGACCTGTCTCCTCCTCTCCATCTCCAAACACAAAATCACTGCATTCTTGGAGCTCAGCATTCCTCTCACATAACCCTTGGGCAAGGGGGTCTTGGTCTTTAAGGTTCACCTTGGGCTCTGCCCACTTCCCTGCTGTCTCATGTGATACCTGGAAAAGACACCCTCAAGGGTGGTGGGGGAAGGGATGTCAGAGAATCACGGAGCGGTTTGGGTTGGGAGGGACCTTGAAGACCATCTAGATCCAACCCCTGCATGGGCAGGGACACCTCCCACCAGCCCAGGTTGCTCCAAGCCCCATCCAACCTGCCCTTCAACACTGCCAGGGATGGGGCAGCCACAGCTTCCCTGGGCAACCTGTTCCAGGCTCTCACCACCCTCACAGCAAAGAATTTCCTCCTCATGTCCAACCTCAATCTCCCTCTGCCAGTTTTAACCCCTTCCCCCTTGTCCTCTCCCTCCCTGCCCTTGTCCCAAGTCCCTCCCCAGCTTTCCTGGAGCCCCTTCAGGCCCTGGAAGGTGCTCTAAGGTCTCCCTGGAGCCTTCTCTTCTCCAGGCTGAACACCCCAACTCTCCCAGCCTGGCTCCAGAGCAGAGTTGCTAATCTAAACCTCCCCTCTTCCAGATTTGATCCCTTCCCCTCATGCTCTCACTACAAGCCTTTGTCCCAAGTCCCTCCCCAGCTTTCCACAATGAACTGAGCCCCACTGGGTGCAGCCCACCCTAAACCTGCACCCATCCCAGCTGGAGCACTCAGAGCCAGGAGGGGCTAGGGCAGCACTGGTGAACCACTTCTCCTACTGCCCTACTCCCAGAGCTCCCAGTTCCACCCAGAGGTGGCAGAAGGATCTCCAGGTGTTCCCAGCTCCCCCTTCTGCCTGCAGGAGCCCAGGGACTCACCTCTGACACTCGCTGCAGGTTCCTGCTGGCAATGATTGTCCGGCAGCCGTGCCTGCAGGGGAGGGGCTGGTGAGATCCTGGGATTCCCAGCAACAACAACTGCTCAAGATGGGAGTGGGGAAAAGTGCACGGATTTGACTTCTCAAATCCCAGCAGGTTTTACAATCCCTTACAAACAGGAATCATGAAACCACCAAACACAGCCCCAGGCAGGGATGAAAAAGTCTGTTCTAAGTGACTACTCTTTTTAAAGATCTATTGGCCCAGGTGTTGCAATGGTTTGGCTTTACATTTGGGATGGAAACACATTGTTAGACCTCTGAATGACAGTGTTGATCAACTGAAAATAGAAATGCCCAGTCAGTAATGGGGAGGTTGTGGCTGCCCCATCCCTGG